TACTTTCCAAAAGTGAAATTACTCTAAACATTAAAGTCTGAAACTTGCTTCTCCACCCCCCACATAATATACCAGTGATATCTTTCTAGGATATCACACATAACTTTTTCTCATGGTTTCATTGGCTGCATTATATTTCACTTTAAAAATTAGTACTTTATTATAAATACTTGGTCTTAATTTTCACAGTAAACCTTAGATTTCAAACAATCAATTATATGTAAAGTTTTAATGCTGTTTTTGACCTCCCATGACCCATATTATCTGATGCATGTATTTTAATCATATTCTGAAAATTATTTCTAATGAGTCAATAAACTTTCATTAACAGGTCTCAGTCCTCAAAGCACTAGGAAGCACAGTGGATAGAGAAAGATAGCTAGAGAAATGCATTATATATATATGTATAATTTTAACTTTTTATTTTATATTGGAGTATAGCCAATTAATAATGCTGTGATAGTTTCAAGTGCACAGCAGAGCAACTCAGCCATGCATAGGCATTTAATAATATATTAATGGAGTCTTGCATTTTGCTTTGATACAGAGGTGGAATTAGAAATCAAGATGAGCATTCTTGCTCGAGAGGCACTACCTACATCAGTCACCCCCAAAGACTCAGAGCACCTTTACAGAGGACAAGACATCCTGCTAGGTGCTACTTGGCAAACAGTAACATCACCCTTCTCTGAGATATTCATTCTGTACTTCAGTCCAGCCCGGCCCAGCCCAGTTGTAATGCTGGGAGGAACACAACAAAATAGAAGCTAGATATAAATAAGATCACACTCTTTCAGACTAAACTGTCCTGTAACATCTAGAGTGAATGTTCCAGCTCAATGAGAATGTCACTCTTGGGACAGAAAATGATGGGAGATAAATGGCAAGTTTCCAAGACTCTCAGAAGAAAACAAAATCATTTGACTTCATTTATTAATAACATGGGTGCTCGCTTTGGCAGCACATATACTAAAATTGGAACGATACAGAGAAGATTAGCATGGCCCCTGCGCAAGCATGACACACAAATTCGTGAAGCATTCCATATTTTTAACGTCACTCATTATCAGAGAAATGCAAATCAAAACCACAATGAGGTACCATTACACTCCAGTCAGGATGGCTGCTATCCAAAAGTCTACAAGCAATAAATGCTGGAGAGGGTGTGGAGAAAAGGGAACCCTCTTACACTGTTGGTGGGAATGCAAACTAGTACAGCCACTATGGAGAACAGTGTGGAGATTTCTTAAAAAGCTGGAAATAGAACTGCCATATGACCCAGCAATCCCACTTCTAGGCATACACACCAAGGAAACCAGATCTGAAAGAGACACGTGCACCCCAATGTTCATCGCAGCACTGTTTATAATAGCCAGGACATGGAAGCAACCTAGATGCCCATCAGCAGACGAATGGATAAGGAAGCTGTGGTACATATACACCATGGAATATTACTCAGCCATTAAAAAGAATTCATTTGAATCAGTTCTAATGAGATGGATGAAACTGGAGCCCATTATACAGAGTGAAGTAAGCCAGAAAGATAAAGACCAATACAGTATACTAACACATATATATGGAATTTAAAAAGATGGTAACGATAACCCAATATGCAAAACAGAAAAAGAGACACAGATGTACAGAACAGACTTTGGGACTCTATGGGAGAAGGCGAGGGTGGGATGTTCTGAGAGAATAGCATTGAAACAAGTATACTATCAAGGGTGAAACAGATCGCCAGCCCAGGTTGGATGCATGAGACAAGTGCTCAGGGCTGGTGCACTGGGAAGACCCAGAGGGATGGGATGGGGAGGGAGGCGGGAGGGGGGATCGGGATGGGGAACACATGTAAATCCATGGCTGATTCATGTCAATGTATAGCAAAAACCACTACAATATTGTAAAGTAATTAGCCTCCAACTAATAAAAATAAATGAAAAAAAAAAAAGAAAAGTGAAAGAGAAAAAAAAATTTGTGGAATTAAAAAAAAAAAACTTATGGTATTGGAGTTTCTGATGTCCACTCTCAGAGAAAGAAATGGAATTATTGGCAGCACTGTTCAAAAAGAGAAATGTGCCGAACATTCCTTTTGTTCAATGGTGTTTAAAAAATTCCTAAATCAGTATTTATGTAATTACTGGTTAATTGACAATCTCCCAAATAAAAGGTAAGTTCTGTGAGGGCAAGAGCTTTGTCCTTACTCATGCTCTTGCACTTTTTTCCCATTGGGGGAGATAGAGACATTTAAGAAAAAAAAAATGAAGGAAAAATCAATTGTGGTTTTAATCACAATTGCATTAAGTTTTTAAAGGAGAAGACCAGATGGGACCAGCTCAGAGAGGACTTCTGCAAGAAAGAGAGGATTGAGCTAAAATGTGAAACACATGCAAGCGAGGAGGAAGCAAAGGAGCTTTGCGTGCAGAGGGATGAGCCAAGGCCCTGAGGTGGCTGAGTACAGAGCACTGGAAAGAAAGAAAGAAGGTCAAGAGTGAGGCTGGTGAAGGGCACCAGGAGCATAAAGTGGGGCTGGACGTATAGATAGGAAATAGATGATGCAGACCTCTACAGGCCAAGGAGCTTGGTCTTACTGTTGGTGCAATGAATAGCCATTGAAGGGTTTTAAGCAAAAGAACAACAGGGTAAGAGCTGCAGTATTAGAAGAGATTTTGTCAACACTGAGTGGATTAGAGGGGATAAAAGAAATGTGGGGGGAATAATTAGGAGGTTGTTGCAGTGATATCCAACAGACAATAATAGTCTGAACTAGAATGACAGAGATGAGAAGAAAGAGACTCAGATCTGTGCTGGAAGGAAAGTCAATAGGACTTGTCATTATTTAAATGCAGTGGATAAGGAAAGACCGCATAAGAGTAACTACCTGGTTTCTAGGTGTGGCAGCTGCTGGAAAAGCTACTCACTGAGAAGGAGGTCCACGTTTGGTAAGAAAGACCATGGGTTGTATGGACAGAAGCTGAAATTAGCATCCACTAACATTGAGGGCTGTGCCAAGCTGGGTCAATGCTATGCTTTAAATGGATCATCTAATTCATCCTAACTGCCATCCTATAGAAAAGGTGCTACTGCTCCCATTTTTAGAGATGAGAAAACTGAGATTTGGAAAGGCTTAGTAACTTATCGCCATTCTCAGAGCTAAAAATTGACTGAGCTGGGATGTGAACCTGGATTTCCTTGGTTCTAAAGCAGATGGTTCTTAATTACCAGCCCATACTGCTTCATGACAACTGAGGTCTACTGAGGAAAAATGTCATGGTTTCAAAAGGGCATGATACTTACCCTAGAACTCTGAAGCCAAACCTTCCTAGAAAACCTTCAGTTTTCCTCTCCAGGCCTCCCAGAACAACTGTCCACATCAGCAAGATAATTCTACACTTTCTCCCATCCTTCACTGCCCACCCACTCAGGCTTTTGGCCAAACTTCAAGGTTACCTCCAGTTGCCCTGATCTCCTCAACTTTGCCTTCTCCAAAATACTATAATATTTTCAGTCTCACCACTTACTTTGGCAACAATCACATGTGGGCTACCCTGCAGGATGTCCATATATTCTCAACTTCCTCACATTTTATTTTTCCTATTGTGGATTTTCTTTCTTTCTTTCTTTCTTTTTTACAGTATATACTGACTGTCTTGTAAAGCCTTTCAAGCACTGAAGTCAGATTGTTGTAAATAAGCTAATAAACACAAATTTCAAACTGTGACACTCTGGTTCTGGCTGCCAACCAACAGCTCTGTTTTACCAATGTTATTATCTCTAGTTGTGGAATGGAATCTCATTATACATTGCATTTAAATTACACACATTCGTCTATATATTCTTGGCAGAGCAAGAAACAGAGAACATGCACATTTTAAACAGAGCAGGCCATTATGCCTGCCATTCTAATCCATAAGCATGTGTCCCATAAAACAGGAGATGAATGAACTGACTTGAGTCCCTAAGGATCTTTTCCAGTATGAGTAATTATCTGGACAAACTCTGATTTTAGTGTATAAAGGTACAAATTTTAGATAAAACACAACCTCTAATTTTAAGTCAACTATTCTTCCTATTCCTCTATTAAGGAACCTATCCTAGTGACCTATCCCAAGATTAGTGGGAAAGTTGGGTCTCCTGGACTAATCAAGAGACAGTAAGAGACTGTCCCTAGCAATTCTGATAACACAAGACTTTCACACCACATTTTCTTTTGGGATCTACCCCTAAGATATGACTACAGCGATGGCAGTATATGTTCGGTTAATCATCTGACTTTTAAATTGTATTCTCCCTTTATTATTGAAAATAAATAAGCATGAACTGGAAAATGAAAAGTGCTGATACAACTGATAAACATGTGCCTCCAACAAATGAGGCAAAGACGGAAATCATTAGGCCTCCTGAAGTCAAATGTGAAAAAAAAAGAACCCAGCTATGCAAGAGGAATGAAATTCTAACTTGGGTCCAAAAAGCCAACAATTATTAGGGATTTTATAATCACCTTTGATTTTTTGGAAAAGAGCCTCCCCAGTCACAGGCACAAATCTAAATATGCACATAAAATTATGATACAGGTGCATTATCAGAAGGTCGTGTTCAAACAGAACACTATCACTTTGAACTACCCTGCTGCCTACTGGGCAGATAGATTAATTCTTGCTTCTCAGCATCCTCAGAATTTTCTTTGTGCCATCAGCATACAATTTCAGGCTTACCTATGGGAAACATGGTTGCTAGTACCTGTCACTATTTAGACGGTAAGCTCCTTGCAGGCAGCTTCTAGGCCTTACTCATCTCTGCGTCTGCAGTGCTTTAGAGAATGCCTGACTAAAAAAGGGTGCTGTACAAAAGCCAGAGAGTGAATAAATAAGTGAACAGCCAGATTTACCTCTCTGAGATTCATTTCCTCTTATGAATCAGAGAAGAAAAAAGACACAGCCCAGTGGGCATCAGGCTGTTGTCTCCAGCATGGAGCTACACTTTGTACATGGCGCTGGCCTTACCTATCCAGAGAAATGCAGCACAGGTGAAAAATCGATGCTGTTGTGAGCAGGACATCCAGAGATGTCCGGACAAGGCAGAACATCTCCCCGTAAATCCAGATGTCTTGAACGAGATCAATGGCACCGAAGGGCATCACGAGCACTGACACCAGCAGATCCGCAAAGGCGAGAGACACAATGAAATAATTGGTTTTTATTTTCCTGTGGGTGAAAAAGTGTAAGGGAGGAGGTAGTGGGAAAGACGGAGGAAAGAGGTTAGGGGGAAAGGAGCAGGGGAGAAAAGATAGGGAAAGGGAAGCAAAGAAATAAGGGAAGAAGGGAGGAAAGAAAAGGAGAGAAAAGTCAGATGTGCAACATACTCTGTGAGATTCAGTTTCCTCTTCTGTCTTGTGTGCGATCCAGTCACTTTGGACTTCTCCAGACCCCTGGCACCATAAATCCTCTCTTGCCCTCATCTGTGAGCACAATGGCCTGACTTGAGCCCCCCATGCACAGAGACCATCCCGAAGGTCTTTATGGAGTGTTCTCTCTCCCTACTGTTGGCCTAGCTATATCCTACCAACTCGTTGGGCCTTGGTTTAGTCATTCCCAGGAAACCCTCCCAAGGCGCACCCGCCCCCCTACAAACAGTGTCAAATTCCACTATTTTCCACTTTTAGACTGACTACCATGTGCCTCACGTTTGTCACAGTGGTTAGAATTTTGTTTTTATGCTTTCTTGATTAGAGCATGTCTTGCTTTAAGAGGAAGATAGCAGCAGATGGGTCAGAACTGAACCTTTCGTCCCCTTTTGTGGCCTGGTGGATCTTAATCTAGACTGCACAATAGAATCACCTAGTAAATGTGTCTAAATATCAATGCCCAGGTCTTGCCCTGGATCTATTAGTTCAGGAATTCTGTGTGATGAACCCACTTACCCACCCCTAAGCTCGCCAAATAAAATATATGGCACTCAGTTAAATGTGAACCTCAGATACACAACAAATAATTTTCCAATATAAGTGTACTCCAGATATCACATGAGACACACTCCTGCAGTACATTAGTAATTTTATAAGGGTCTTTAGGTGATTCTAATTGCAGCCAAGGATGAAGTGGAAAGAGCAGAAGACCGAGGTTTAAATCCTAGATCAGCCACTAGTCAGCTATGCTTTGGGGGCTTCCCTGGTGGCTTAGATGGTAAAGAATCTGCCTGCAATGCAGGAGAGCCAGGTTCAATCGCTGATAAGGAAGAGCCCCTGGAGAAGGGAATGGCAACCCACTCCAGTATTCTAGCCTGGAGAATCCCATGGACAGAGGCGCCTGGTGGGTTATAGTCCATGAGGTCGCAAAGAATTGGACATGGCTGAATGACTAAGCACACATCCAGCTATCCTTTCTTTGAATCAGTTAATAAAGTGAGGAGGTTAGATATGCTTTCAGCCATTACATATATAGTGATCACAACTATTATAGAAAAAACAACACAGGAAACAAGTCAGGATGGAAATGCACTTACATGCTTATACTTGTTATGTTAGAACTATGAGAGTATATGTGATTTTTTTTTCCCCTGCATCATTTCCCAAACATCATTGCCATGTATCTTTTTCCCTTCATAGCTATAAATTCTAGCGGAAATTATAAATTCAGACTACAGTTCTCCAAGGAGAGCCTGGAACTCCACCCAGGTTTTCTCATGAGGTTGCCTCACGTGACTCACCTCAGCTGTCTGTCCCTGCACACGGCCACCATCACCAGCAGGTTCCCCAAGATAGCCATCAGGATAACTGCCGAGAGAAACGTGAGCAGCACGACCTTCTCCACTGACCCGAAACCCTCCTTGGAACTGGAAGACACACAAACACGAAGAACTGAAGAAAACTCTTGAGACACAAGAAAGAAAATTAGTTTTTTCCTTCATTCATTTTCAGAAAGGTAACTTCACTGTCGAAGCTGCAAACACACATGTCTTGTACACCTAATATATGCCAAGGTTTGCACTTGTCACTTCACATGTTATTCTGGTTAACTCCTACATAATGAGAAGGAGGAGGCTCAGAGAGGTAGATTAACTACCCTGAGATTGCACAGTGATTCTCTATCAGAGAACTTGAGGCTTTCCTTCAGAGCACTGAGCTTAGCTTGTGCTCAGAAAGCTTATTTGGTTGATTCTTGTTTGGCACACCAACACAGCTAGGTTGTAAGCTCCATGAGGCAGGGACATTGCCTGTTTTCTCCATTGACAAATTCAGTTTCAATACATCATTCATATTTAGTGAATGAAGGGAAAATGGCATGAAATGAGCAAATGAAGGTAACTTGAACCAGTATCTTTGTGAACACAAAGGCCGTCTGTGTTCAGTATCTCATCCCAGTCCACACAGAAGCTGCTGTGTGCAAGTGGGCTGTCCAAGGACTAGGTCACAGTTTGAAGGTTGTTTGTTCCTAAATGGCTGACTTGGACAAACTGTTCTTGGATTATGTGAAACCCACTGGAAATACAGAATCCATCAATAAACTCAGGGATTCCTTTCACTGCCTTGAACTACATTTCTTTTGGTGCCCAATACAACAGCTCAAATTTGTGTGCTTGTGAGTTTTAGCAACCAATTTCTTTCTATAAACCCTGCCCTCCTAATGTCAACTCATTTTGTCTTCCTAACTTGGAAGTGAGTGTCCCCTGTCAATAAAAGCACAAAAAATGCAGATTATTCAGAAGCTGCAGGAAAATATTTGTTTTTTAATGTGTTTTTTAAAATGTTCTTCTAAATGAAGTTTCAAAGGATCTTAAAACTTTTAGACCCAAACACACATTTCAATATGGAGAAACTAAGACCCAGTGAGAAGAACTAGGTTGCCAGAGTGTGTTAGCATCTAGACTGGGAGAAGCTGCTTGCTCTTTAGGCCACCACTGGGTACTCAGGCAAGAGTGAACATCGACATTTTTGGAATCAGTGAACTAAAATGGACTAGAATGGGTGAATTTAATTCAGATGACCATTATATCTACTACTATGGGCAAGAATCCTATAGAAGAAATGGAGTAATCCTCATAGTCAACAAAGAGTCCAAAACACAGTACTTGGATACAATCCCAAAAATGACAGAATGATCTCTGTTCATTTACAAGGCAAACAATTCAATATTAGAGTAATACAAGTCTATGACCTGACCAGTAATGCTGAAGAAGAAGTTGAATGGTTCTATGAAGACCTACAAGACCTTCTAGAACTAACACTCAAAAAAGATGTCCTTTTCATTATAGGGGACTGGAATACAAAAGTACGAAGTCAAGAAATACCTGGAATAACAGGCAAATTTGGCCTTGGAGTACAGAATGAAGCAGGGCAAAGGCTAACAGAGTTTTGCCAAGAGACTGCACTGGTCATAGCAAACCCTCTCTTCCAGCAACACAAGAGAAGACTCTATACATGGACATCACCAGATGGTCAATATCGAAATCAGATTCATTATATTCTTTGCAGCCAAAGATGGAGAAGCTCTATAGTCGGCAAAAACAAGACTCAGAGCTGACTGTGGCTCAGATCCTGAACTTCTTATTGCCAAATTCAGACTTAAATTGAAGAAGGTAGGAAAAATCAGTAGACCATTCAGGTATGACCTAAATCAAATCCCTTATGATTACACAGTGGAAGTGAGAAATAGATTCAAGGGATTAGATCTGATAGAGTGTCTGAAAAACTATGGATGGAGGTTCATGACATTGCACAGGAGGCAGTGATCAAGACCATCCCCAAGAAAAAGAAATACAAAAAAGCAAAATGGTTGTCTGGGGAGGCCTTACAAATAGCTATGAAAAAAAGAAGCGAAAAACAAAGGAGAAAAGGAAAGATACACCCATTTGAACGCAGAGTTCCAAAGAACAGCAAGGAGAGATAAGAAAGCCTTCCTCAGTGACCAATGCAAAGAATTAGAGGAAAACAATAGAATGGGAAAGATTAGAGATCACTTCAAGAAAATTAGAGACACCAAGGAAACTTTTCATGCATAAGTGGGCACAATAAAGGACAGAAATGGTATAAACCTAAGAGAAGCAGAAGATATGAAGAGGAGGTGGCAAGAATACACAGAAGAACTATGCAAAAACAACCTTCATGACCCAGATAACCACGATGGTGTGATCACTCACCTAGAGCCAGACATCCTAGAATGCAATGTCAAGTGGGCCTTAGGAAACATCACTAGGAACAAAGCTTGTGGAGGTGATGGAATTCCAGTTGAGCTTTTTCAAATCCTAAAAGATGATGCTGTGAAAGTGCTGCACTCAATATGCCAGCAAATTTGGAAAACTCAGCAGTGGCCACAGGACTGGAAGAGGTCAGTTTTCATTCCAATCCAAAAGAAAGGCAATGCCAAAGAATGCTCAAACTACCACGCAATTGCACTCATCTCACACTCGAATAAAGTAATGCTCAAAATTCTCCAAGCGAGGCTTCAACAGTATGTGAACCATGAACTTCCAGATGTTCAAGCTGGATTTAGAAAAGGTAGAAGAACCAGATATCAAATGGCCAACGTCTTTTGGATCGTTGAAAAAGCAACAGAGTTCCAGAAAAACATCTACTACTGCTTTATCGACTATGCCAAAGTCTTTGACTGTGTGGATCACAACAAACTGTGGAAAATTCTGAAAGAGATGGGAATACCAGACCACCTGACCTACCTCTTGAGAAATCTGTATACAGGTCAGGAAGCAACAGTTAGATCTGGACATGGAGCAACAGACTGGTTCCAAATAGGGAAAAGAGTACGTCAAGGCTGTATATTGTCACCTGCTTATTTAACTTATCTGCAGAGTGCATCATGAGAAACGCTGGGCTGGATGACGCAGAAGCTGGAATCAAGGTTGCCGGGAGAAATATCAATAACCTCAGATATGCAGATGACACCACCCTTATGGCAGAAAGTGAAGAAGAGCTAAAGAGCCTCTTGATGAAAGTGAAAGAGGAGAGTGAAAAAATTGGCTTAAAGCTCAACATTCAGGAAACTAAGATCATGGCATCTGATCCCATCACTTCATGGCAAATAGATGGGAAAACAATGGAAACAGTGAGAGACTTTATTTTTTCGGGCTCCAGAATCACTGCAGATGGTGGCTGCAGCCATGAAATTGAAAGACGCTTGCTCCTTGGAAGAAAAGTTATGACCAACCTAGACAGCATATTAAAAAGCAGAGACATTACTTTGCCAACAAAAGGTCCATCTAATCAAAGCTATGGTTTTTCCAGTAATCATATATGGATGTGAGAGTTGGACTATAGAGAAAGCTGAGAGCCCAAGAATTGATGTTTTTGAACCATGATGTTGGAGAAGACTCTTGAGAGGCCCTTAAACAGCAAGGAGATCCAACCAGTCCATCCTAAAGGAAATCAGTCCTGAATATTCATGGGAAGGACTGATGCTGAAGCTGAATCTCCAATACTTTGGCCACCTGATGTGAACTGATGTCATTTGAAAAGACCCTGATGCTGGGAAAGATTGAAGGCAGGAGGAGAAGGGGACGACAGAGGATGAGATGGCTGGATGGCATCACCGACTTGATGGACATGAGTTTGAGTGGACTCAGGCAGTTGATGGTGGACAGGGAGGCCTGGTGTGCTGCAGTCCATGGGGTTGCAAAGAGTCAGACATGACTGAGCAACTGAACTGAACTGATGTACTCTTCTTTTCTATTGTGATAAAATGTGCATGACATAAAACTTACCATTAATACATACAGTAACCATTTTACATGTATAATTGAGTGACAAGATGATCACTCACAGTGGTGTGCAGCCATTACCATTATCCACTTCCAGAATTTTGTCATCACCCCAAATAGAGATGCTACGCTCATTACATAAATCCCCAGTCCCCTCTCCTCTACCTATCCCAGCCCCTGGTAAACACTATTCTACTTTGTTTCTCTAAGAATTTGCCTGTTCTAGGCCCTTTGTATACATGGAATTATACAATGTTTGTCTTTTTGGGTCCGGTTTATTTCACGGAGCATAAGGTTTTCAGAGTTTATCCATATTGTAGCATGGATGAGAACTTAATATGTTTTTATGACTGAACAGAAATTCTGTAGTCTGTTCATACTGCATTCTTTTTATCCTTTCACCTGTGGATGGACTCTTGAGTTGTTTCTCCCTTTTGGCTATTGTGAATAATGCTGTTATGAACAATGGAGTGCATATCTCTATTCATGTCCATGCTTTTGATTCTTCAGAGTGTATACCTAGGACTGATACTGCTGACTCAGATAGTCTTTCTGTATTTAGCATTTTGAGAAAGCACCAAACTGTTTTCCATAGCAGTTGCACCATTTTACACTTCTATCAGAAAGGCACTAAATTTCCAGTTTATTTTCATTCTCACCAACACTTGTTATTTTTCAGTTTTGTTTTATAATAACTATCCTAATAGGTGTGAAGTCATATCTAATTGACACCTAGATATTCTTAAACACTTCCTGAGCCAGGGCACTCAAAATGACACTGGGAAGCTACTGTGGATCATCCTTAGTTATTAGAAAGTTATTATCCACTACTAAATCTTCCCTCCCTTTAGCAGTGAATCTTAACTTTGGTTGCACATCAGAACCACGTAGGAGCTTTTAAAAATTCTCATATTCAGGCTGCAACCCAGACTAACTAAATCAGAGTCTTTGAGAGTCAGGTTCTAACATCAGCATTTTCTAAGGCTCTTCAGCTGATTTCCATATGCAGCCAATGTTGAGAGCCACTGTTTATAGAGACTGCTCACTGGTCCCACATAGTTACATAACCTGTAGGCTGTAAACTCTGACAACCTATTGCTGAGCTTCACTGACAACCCCCATTT